CAAGACTGGAGAGAATTTGCTTGCCTTGGCCGTCACGCAAAAATCTAAAAGATCGTGCCGTGCCATTCTTCCTATTCCCACCTTCGATTTTATCCGGCGTAACCTGTTTCGAACAATACCAAGGTAAAGTTATATGCAGTTTGTCTCCACGATTGGCGTACCTCATTGTCCAGTTTGATCGTACGTCCATATAAAATGAATAGCTCTCCATTAAACCAAGTTCCCTTTCGCTCCAAAGTTTGTGGCAATCTCTCAGAATACCTACCTCAAGACTGTTTCCCTTGCCTCTACGTAAAGCAGAGAGACAGCAACTGAAAATTAAATATAAATGAAACGAGGTTAAGGTACACTATAAGTCTTTGTATCATATAAAAAGTTTATTTAATCTTCTGCCATTAAATTGGACATTTTAATTCTTATACATTTGAAAAAATTGAATATTTTCATGAAAAAAATATTATAGTTATATAATGGTTGTCCCTTTTTTCCCATATGTATGGGGTAAGGGGGGAGGTAGATAGTAGGCTGCCCCCAACACCAGTTGAGAGCAGCTTCCGTAGGAGACCTCCAAATTATGAAATGCCCTCCGTGGGACTTGATCCCACGACCTCAAGGTTTTAGAACCTTGTGCTTACCAATTATAGTTATATTAGTTTGTTTAAATACTTTGGTTTAAACACCGTTTATGTCAATTTCGAAATTTAACAAATTGACCCCTTTTTTTGAAAAATAATTAGCAATATGCATTTTTTTGACAATTTCTAAATCTAATCATGATCCTACCTAGAGGGACTCTAGGGGAAGGAGAGTGCTCCTAGTGGGTCGTAATTAGTAAGAATGATATGTGATAGTATTGACCTTTTACGTTAGTAAATGACAAGTGTCCAACTATAATCGGATAGTTTTAATGAAACAAAAATTCAAAATTAAAATATTGTTCATAATTTTGAAGGGTTTAGTGAAATTTTAAATATTTATGATTTTTATGTTATCTTTTTTAATTAAACCCTTATCCTCGCTTTAAATAAAAACTAATTAAATTATTGTTTATTTTTACTTTTTATTAAAGTTTATATGATTTTTTTTAAATACTTATGAAATATAAAAATAAAATAACTAATTAAATTATAGTTTATATTATTGTTGCAAACAAGACAATGGAACTTCAAGTTATAGTAGAGATTTCAAACAGATTTGCAAATCTGTTCGGGTATACGAATACTTCAAGTTTGAGTGTATTTTTTTCGATGTCGAAATTAATCCATTTTTATGTTTTAGTTTGTAATTATATTATTATTATAAGCGAAAACAATAAAATTTGAAGTCAGAATAAGAATTAATTTTTGCATTTAAAATTTATTTTATTTTATGTTGAACACACAAGGGCAGAAAATGTTTTAAAATGTGGTCATGAATATTGCTGGCAAGTCCCGTAGGCAAAGAAAAGAACTTCACTGATGAACCCTAATGGTGAAAAGTTTCTTTATTATATTCTTGGAGGAAGAAGAGAAAAAGATGTTTCCAATTTAAAAATATTTGTGCTGTGGAAAACGAAGCTATAAAGAATGACGTCTTATTGCTTTAGAACTTGATTTTTCACCAAATAAAAAGAATTATTATTTTTTATTATGTAAAAAAGAATGAGAGGGGAATCGAGCAAAGCAGTAGGAAAATGGCATTTGAAGAAGAGTAATTAGTACATATATTACTAGTAAATTAATACATCAAGGCATTAGGCACTAATTAAAGTTAAGCATATAACATTTTTCAATTCATTGTTCTAGTGTACAAGAGGTTCGGACTCTTGAATAATATTCGTGTTGTCAAGTTTGTTCCCTGGTTTGATGTTACTCTGGGACTCTTTCTTCTTCCCACAGTGTTCGTTTGTTGATTGGCTCCCTTAAGTTTTGTTCTGTGCTATATTCCGCATGGCAGATGAATTATTGGATGATGAATGGCACAATATACTCGGTCGTTTGCTTACACCGGTCTCTGATGTCTCAAACTGGATTTCCTACGTGCATATTTTAAAAAAATTATATGAGCAAACATTTGACTGGATGTTCAAATTGTTTACTTTTATTCTTTCATATTCTCTAAGTCATGGTTGGACTTGGAGGTGAACACTCCCTTTTATTTTTCTAAAGTCACCTATTTCTCTCTCCTCTAGATTATATTTAGAATTTGTTAAAAAAGTTATTTTATATAATTTAAAGGACATATATCTAGATGTATGGAAACAATATCCAACACACAATAGGCAAGATGACCAATTCCAAGAAAGCTAAAATTACAAAGGTTGAAAAGGACTCAGAAGACCAAGCGAGTCATCAAATGTTCAAAGATGAAATATATGACGCAGAAAGTTTACTTGGAAAGAGGCGTTGTTTACTACAAACCCATGGAATTTCCAAGCAAACGAAAGAGAAAAGGAGGCTCAAGCAAAGACCAGAATCAATGATGGATCCATTTTCACTGATGACTTTGTTGTGCTGATAGCGCGTGGGCTCCACCATTAAGAAAACAACACCTCGCAGCCTCGGTTCCCGCGTCTGTTGCAGGTGTTTCCCATGACTTTTCTTTCTCCCAACACAAATTTGTTTTGTGTAAAATTCTGTAAAAGGACCCCATACCATACGGTTTTGAGAGATTTTACCCTGCTGCCAACTCTTTCTCGTTAATTCTATCAACGATTTGATCTGTGTTATTTTATATTTTAAAAAACATGTGATAATTTGATTATCGTTATCGCCATATGGTATAACTGTACAAAATGTGGCATATGTCACATTATTTAATGGAATTGTTGGGAAAATTTGACTTTTTGAAAATAGACATTTTAAAAGGTATACGGTTTAGAAAAGATCAAATTATAGTAAATGAACAAAACCCTAAAAAAGACAAAGTTCAGGGACCTTTTATAAATTTGACTCATAGTTTGTTGATGACTTGGTAGATGCTTGCTGTTTATCCCTCACAGAAACATGTATAAATAAGCAAATGTTCATCGACCAAGCACTGTACATTCAGAAAACATTTCTCAGAAGTTTCCATCTTATATTCTCCTATTATATATATATATATAGGATCAGTATAAGCAATTAACAACAATGAGCAGCGAGTCCAGTATGGACGATAACGCCTCAAAGATTGAACTTCCAGGCTTCCGGTTCCATCCGACAGAGGAAGAACTCCTCCAATTTTACCTCAAAAACATGATTTACGATACCAAATTTCAGTATTATTGTTAGGTATGACTCATAAATATACCAGTAAATAGGACAGGAGATGGAGCGGAGTGAGCGAAGCGAATGCAGCGAACATCAACTGTCCTTACAAAGAAAGTCTCGTTGTGGGGTTACGAATTATGTGGGTTGAGGGTGCGGGGCGCAGCCCCGCGGTACGGTACAGGGTTGATTTTGTAATTATGTACCAGGGTTTTCTATTATAAATAGAGATGTAACCTAGACCTAAAATATCATTAAAAAAAAACTTCTAGCGCCGCCTAGGCACCGAGGACGTAAGAACATTACCGAACCTCGTAAAATTCTCGTGTTCTTTCGTTTTCTTTACCCGTTTTCGTCAACAATTATGTAATCGGATTCCTCAACATCTATGGCCATGATCCCTGGGATTTGCCTGGTATGTGTAAACATACATAAATACATACATGATACATATATATATATATATAGGCAAATAACAACAATGCTGTTTTCTTTATAGGGTTGTCGAAGATAGGAGAGAGGGAATGGTATTTCTTTGTTCCGAGAGATAGGAAGCATGGTAGTGGTGGGAGGCCTAATAGGACTACGGAAAAAGGGTTCTGGAAAGCCACAGGCTCCGACCGGAAAATCGTGAGTTTATCGGAACCGAAGAGCATTATCGGCCTGAAAAAGACTCTTGTGTTCTATAAAGGTAGAGCTCCACGAGGAAGGAGGACTGATTGGGTGATGAACGAGTATCGTCTCCCTGATGGTTGCTCCTTGCCCAAGGTATACTATACACCTTTCTCATTTTCAACCCTGAGGGACTCAATTTCATACATTCAAAGAGTACAGGGACTGGAGGCATAAGTACACCTATAAAACTCATTAGTAACTAAAAAGACTTGACTTTTGACTCCAACACTTTCATTAATTATTTCATACCAAACTTTCTTAATAAAAGCATATGGATATAGTTAATGTGAACACATTAGTATTGTGCAGGATGTAGTATTGTGCAAGGTGTACAGGAAGGCAACTTCATTGAAAGTTCTTGAGCAAAGGGCAGCAGAGGAGGAAGAGTTACTGTTAATGAAGAACACCAACACCAACACATCTCCATCATCATCATCCATGGAAACAATTTCTTTTTGCAGCCCAAAAGAGGCTTTGGTGCCATCAATCTCTGCACCCGGAATGTTATTCAAGAAAGAAATCGAAGAAGAAGCAATGAAAGAAGAGAATATATCAGAGAAAAGACTATCTTCTTCATCTCTGCAACTTCCATTAGGCAGTGAGAAATTACCAGAGCTTCAAATGCCCAAAATGCTAAGTGACTGGACACAGGATCAGTTCTGGGCTCAGTTGAACTGTCCTTGGTTCCAGAATCTCACAACTTATGCCAACATCTTGAATTTCTAGTGCCTAAATTAATCACTTTGTAAAATTCTTTAAGCCTTGATGTTGTGTATATACGGCTTTAAGCATCTGGTATTGGTATGTATCTCCCTAGACCCTACTGTTTAGTTAGTTCTAGCCTAAGACTAAGAGGACGAGGACCCATGTTTTTACAGCTTTCAAGCTTTGCGAAGCCTTTGCTTGTTTTGTTAATGATTTTTTTTTCTTTTCTTTTTGCATATTTGTTTACATCTGACTAATTTGTCTGATGTATCTTTTGGTGTTTTAGTGATATGTAGTATAACACATTCAGTCTTCAATGCTTACTTATTCCATCAATTCAGTCCTAATTTAATCATTTATATTTAAATTGTAAGAGAATTTCAATTACATAAATTAAATTGATTTCATTTTCAGTGACATGTCATCAACAAATACTTTTCCAAAGTTCCTCTGATTGTAACAGTCAAGATAATCACCATAGCTAACTCCAAACATGTCACAGTACCTCTTATAAAACCCGATCCTATCTTCTCCTGATGTATTCCGTCCCCGACCACATTGACCGCCATTGATGATATTTGTGATCAATCCATATCCCGGAAGTCGACCGACCGCCTCGTCACTAGCCGAAGGCATCCAGGCTCCTACTATCACATCGTGACAAGAAGGCTTTATCCCTTGCGGAGTCATCCAGAACCATAATGCAGACCGGAAGGACAATGCGGCATCGGTTAATAGCAGGTCGGGGTTTTCTAACAGCTGCTTTTGCTGCCCTATGGACGCTCCAAATCTCCCATAGTTGTAGTTCCTAGAAAATGAAATATGCTTCATTATTTCAGCGTCAACAAAAGCAAACAATTGGTGAAAGGTGATGTGTGGTTACCAAGAAAGTTGTATGGGACCTCGACCATAATATTTCTGACCAGGAGCACATGGGAACTGTTTAATCCTCCGATCGCAATAATCCGATTTAGGCTTTATTTCCTTATTGTAGCAGTATCCCCATGCATATGGACCACCGGGTGCATTCCACCCTGGTCCACCTAAAATCATCAAATCATTTTCATTCAAGTCTACAAAAAAATTCTAAGTATTCTTAATTAAATAAAAGTATGGCCAAACTTTTCAAAGAGAGAAGATGAAAATGGAACAAACCAGTAGTTTCATGGGAGGTTTGACCGAAGAAAGCAGCAACTTCCCTCATGCGAGTGGCACCATCGCCGGTCGTAGCAAAAGCAGGATACGACATTGCGGCGGCCACGAAAGCTTCATAGGTGTAGAAGCCAGCAGCAGGGCAACGCGTATCGTTTCTATACGGAAGCATATCCTCAAACATTTCCCTCGTTAAAATACTGCCGAGTTTATGGCAACCACCAGCAGCAGTGTCACCTTTGTCGCAGTTACATCGGCAACCATTTTTCTTGAGGCAGTAATCATTAGGAGCGCCACCGAAACGCCATTGGGATATTGGACACACAGCAGTAGCAGGTTGCTTTTCACCCTGCTTGGCGGAGCCTGGGAGTACAAAAGACGAGAACGAAGAGGAAAATGACAAGGCCGGAGCTCTCATTTTTGTAAAATGGAAATGGATTTCGGTCAGGTGAGTGAGTGAAAAAGGGCGACAACACTAATAATATATACCCTTTTAAATGATTCAAACTGACACTTGTACATCTCATCTACCAAAGTTAATGCGGGCGGCCATCGCTATTCAAATTTTAGCTTCTCGCACTTAAAATTCTATTCAAGTTTTTGAAATTTTAAAACTCCAATTTTTCAAGTTTAGGATAAAACCGAATATACTGTAAAAGTATTGAAACTTGTCATGGATAGATGGTGGACTAAGCTTTGTGTCATAACCGGTCAATAGTTGAAAGACAACAATAGCTTTGCCTACTATCTAACGCTCTCAGGTGTCTGATCTTGTCGGGTGAACTTGAGTGGTGCCTAGATGCAAATGCCTGTTTATACGTAGTTGGGGTCAATTTAGTTTGGGTGATGATAGTACAGTTGGTAAAATTTATATGAACTGAGTACGTATTAGGTAATATGAATTAATTAGGTTTTGCTTAATACTTGAACCTTTTCATTGCTCGTGAACATGAACCTTTTAACTATCATTGTAGAGTCAATTTTGAATAGTTCAAGCTCTAAAAAAATTATATTTGAGATTTTTAATACCTCTGTCTCATTAATTTTTTCTAGTAAAAGATGATGCTTAAGGGATGGCTTATGGCTATGATCAATGTAGTTAATCAAGGATCAAGCATTGATTTCATTAATCTTCAGATACATGAACTTTAAAATACGATAATATTGTTGCTTAGGCTGACGTCGAATATAGCGGAATTTGCTCATATTTGACAGCTAAACCATTACTGGTGTATAGCTGTCAAATTATTTTGCTTTCAGTACCACCCAAGAAAGATGGCATAATTAAACATACAGCACTATTATACTATTCTAAAGCACTTGCACTATTTTACAATGCCCACATTTTGACACGTAAAGTCGTTACATTTAGTCCACCAAGACCACGTTCCTGTAGGGCTAGAAGGGGCCGTAGCAGTAAAGATTGTCACCAGGGCCAACTCCAAGCATGTCACAGTATCTTTGATAGTATCCAACGCGATCCCTCACTCTTATGTCCGCACCAATACCGCATTCACCGTGGTCGATAATATTTGTGATCTCACCGTATCCCGGTGGATAGCCATCTCCGTCACCATTCCATTTTCCAACGATCACATCATGGCAAGAAGGCTTTGGCGGTTGTGGAGTCATCCAGAACCAGAAAGCAGCCTCGAAAGCCATTGTTACGTTTTTTGTTAGCAGGTCAGGGTTTTGTAAAAGATCCTTCTTTCGCCCTATGGTTTCTCCAAATTTCCCGTAGTTAACGTTCCTGAGGTATCAATTTTTTTTTTTTATAGAAATCTCTGTGAAAACAAGTTTTGTCTAATTGAAAAAGTTATGTAAGTTACCCAGAAAGTTGCATGGGACCCCGACCACAGTAATTTCGACCAGCAGCGCACGGGTACCTGCGGTTTTGCTCACAATAATCTGTAGGGGGGTTTACTTCCTTATTATAGCAATATCCCCAAAAATATGATGGATCAGCGGGTGGATCCTCAGGTGCACCTACAGACATAACTTGTTTAAAAATGATACTAATGTACTGTTTCCGTGGGTGAAAAACTTAGAGAAATTACCAGCAGTTTGGAAGGAAGTTTGGCCTAAGAAAGCAGCAACTTCCCTTTTCCGAATCTCATCGCTGCCGGTTCTAGCGAAAGCTGGATAAGACTTTGCTGCAGCTATGAAAGCCTCATAAGTGTAGAAACCGTTGGCTTTACAATCAGCCGTGTTTGCATGTGGAAGCATCTTTTTAAACATTGCTTTGCTTATAATATCACCGACTCCACCGCCACCTTTGCGGCTGGTGCTTAGGCAACTGCAAAGGAGCACATGGGACAAGAACAAAGAAGAAATTGCCAAGGCCCCAAATCTCATTGTTTAGGATTCAAGTGGGATATGTTATCAATTATTTGTGAGTGTAGGGAAAGGCCAGAGGATGGACATACATATATATAGTTTAGTTGGGAAGAAAAAAAAGATTATCTGAATCTCTTCACTTTAATTTATGCAGTCCGGCTGTATGCATATTAGTTTAGGATGCAAGTGGGATATGTTATCAATTATTTGCGAGTGTGGGGAAAGACCAGAGGATGGACATACATATATATAGTTTAGTTGGGAAGAAAGAAAAGATTATCTGAATCTCTTCACTTTAATTTATGCAGTCCAGCTGTATGCATATTAGTTTAGTCAATCCTGATTATCACGTGGGCTATTACTTATTATAAGTTTTATTCATTTAGATTATCATTCCTCGTACTTTCGTTTTTTCTTTTTCTTTTTATGCAAAGAAGATAAATTATTCGAAACCTACCACAAAATATAATGTTAAATAATATTTTTTTTATCAAATATCATACAATTTTACCCTATTTTATATTGAATCATTCAAGTATAAAAGATTTTCACTAGGTTTTTGCTATCTTTCAAGTATAAAGTATTTTCACTTAATTCTTTTTTTCTAATTAAGTATCAAATTGTACTTGAATTTAAGTAGTAAAATATATATCAGAAGAGAGGGATAGCACCCAAGGCCAAGAATCGAGAAGTTTAATATGAAACTTCCCACACTAATCTCGTGGAATGTTATCGAACTAGAAAAAAGATGGAGCTTTAAGTGATTCAAGCCCTGATCAATGTAGCTAATAAAGGATCAAGCATTGATTCATTAATCTTAAGCTAATAAGATTACATTACATGAACTTTAAAATACGACAACATCACATAATTAAACATAGAACACAGTGTCATGTAGCATGGAACACTGTTGTATTCTTTTTCTTTTCCAATGCATAAAGCACTTATATTTTTTTACAATCCCATCATTTGACACATAAAGTTATACTGAGTTCACAAGAGTACGTTCCCATAGGACTTCTGATGCTAGCAGTCAAGATTCTCGCCATAGCCAACCCCAAGCATGTCACAGTATATCTTGTAATACCCAATACGATCCTCTCCCTCTGGTTTCTGACCCTTATTACATTCTATGCCACCATTGATAATATTTTTGATCTCACCGTACCCCGGAAGCCGGCCCTCTCCGTCACCATGCCAATTTCCGATGATCACATCGTGACAAGAAGGCTTTGCGATTGTGGAATCGTCTAGAACCAGAGAGCAGCCTCGAAAGTCATCGTAACATTTTTTATTAGCAGGTCAGGGTCTTGTAAAAGATCGTTCTTTCGTCTTATGGTTTCTCCAAATTGCCCGTAGTTATAGTTCCTTAGGTATCAAATTCAACTCATTATAGAAATTTCAGTGAAAACAAGTTTTTGTCTAAATTTTCAGAGAAAACATTACGTTACCAAGAAAGTTGCATGGGACCACGAGTCCACGACCACAATAATTTCGACCAACAGCACACGAGTACCTGGAGTTTTTCTGACTATTCTGTAGGGGGGCTTACTTCCTTATTATAGCAATATCCCCAAAACTATGGACCATCTGATGGATGCCACCCAGTTCACCTACACACACACTCATCAAATTACTAATCAAAATTAATACTAATGAACTGTTTCCAAGAATTGTGGGTGAAAAATTAGACAGATTACCAGTAGTTTCGTATGAAGTTTGACATAAGTAAGCAGCAACTTCACTTTTACGAATCTCATCGCTGCCGATTAACAAAAGCTGGATAAGACTTTGCAGCAGCTATGAAAGCCTCATAGGTGTAGAAGCCCTAGTCATGGCAACTATCCGTGTTTGCATGTGGAAGCTTCTTTTCAAATCTGTGATCAGTTAATTGTGTGAAGAAAGGCCAGAGGATGGACATATATATATAGTAGTGACATAAGAAGAGATAGGTGTGTTATTTAGTTATTATTTAGACTTTAAATTGCTCTTTAATTGTTAGTTTTTATGGCTGATTTGTTCGTTTTGATTCATTTTTTGTGTAAGATACTAGATTCTGGAAATTGTACTAAAATGACAGAATTATACAAAAAAATTTATTTTCAGAATCAAGGTTTGATTAGTGGAATGACTCCGGCCATGACACATCTGACGAGGCGATGAGTCAACACCTTTTAGAAGGTCCAATCAACGCTTCTAGAAGGACAAATAGATCAACCACACTTTTCTGCAATTCGAATTTAAGTTAAACTCATATTTTTGGATATTAGTTTAAATATTATATTATATTTTATCTTTATTTTAGGAATTATATTTCTCTTATTTTTGGGATTTTGAAGGCTATAAATATTCTCTCAGGGTAAGCCTAGAAACACATTCAGTAATCATTCTTCTTATTTCCCCTGGTTTTATAAAAGTTTTTCTTTTCTTTTTTCAAAGTTTTTCTTTGTTTTATTTTTATTTTCAAAGATGCTGATGTAAGGCTAACCAGGCTTCTTCAATGATAGAGAAGTTGGCAACCTTGTTGTTTCCCGATCTAGGAGAGACACCAAATGCTACACTTTGAATTGATAAGTAATATGAAAAATTACAAGAAAGAAATGATTAAAATGGAAATATGAAATAAGAAATGAAATAAGAAATGGAATAAGAAAAGAAATAATAAGAAAGGAAATGGAAAGAATTGATATCAAAGTAGGCTGCGGAAGTGTTGTATAATGATCCTTCAAGTGATGATGGATTCGGCCTGCAATGGTGGTAATGGACGTATGCCTTGTTGATGATGAAGGATGATTTAATGGTGAATATATGGTAATGGGATGGTGATTATATAGGCATGAAAAGGTGACAATGGAAGATGGTGATGAACATATAGTATCTTATAAAACTAAGAAGGAACCAATGCTATAAAGGAGCAAAGACTCGTTTCTTATAAGTCTTATAAGGGATGGTATGAAAGGACTTTGACCCACTAGTTATAAGAACTAGGAACCAAAAGTATCAAGAGGAAGGTATGACGCCACAAACTTAAGAATTAAGCTTGCTTAATCGATATAGTTCTAAAAAGAAATTGAAAAGAGAATAATCTCACAAGGATTTGATTTATCAAAGGGTTGAATACAAATGATATGCCAAAGCCTTATTTATAGGCTTGCATAGGTTTGGCCGAATAGTTATGTGTTCATTCGGCTAGATACATATCTTTTTAATGAAAATAGATGTCTTAAAATGAAAATAGATGATGCTTGGATGAGGGGAGATGTCCTTGGCCGAATTGTCTCCTTGCTCTTCATCTTGGCGCCAACTTTGAAACAAGATGATGCTTTGGTCGAATAGAGAGAACCCCTTTCATTTTGGCGCCCATTTCATCCACACACATGGCACATGGGTGGCTGGTCATGAGGCATTCACATGGGCGACATAGGGTGCTTATGGTGTGGCTTCTCCTTGGTGTGAAGATGAGCAGCAACTAGGTGTGACTTGGCATCCATCTTACGTCTAGGTGACATGGAATCAATGGGGCATCAATTTTCTATGAAAGGTCACATTTGAGTGAGGCAACCTTTCATCATTCGAGCTACTTCGCATGGGTTTGAGCTGAAGTTGAGCTGGCCATAAATGAAGGACATGTGTATAAGTCTTAGGACAGCTACTTATGAAAAGGAACTTCTCGGAATGACAACTCTTCGCGAAAAGGTACGAATCCATAAAATTTAACCTAGACCATATTTGTAGTGCTCTGTTTAGTGAAGATGATAGTGCAACTCTCCAGCTGAAATGAGGTCTCTAGCTAGCTCAAAAGTCCAGCTCAAGTGAGCTATGAGCTCGAGGGTCAGCTGACAACTTTATCCCAAAATGTCCTTGAGCTGTCCCAGAGTTGTCCTAGTCAAGTTTCCTTAGCTCATTGACTCCAATGCTAGCTTTAAGTCAGCTCCCTTTATGTGGCTGAATATGCACCTACAAAAGAAAGCATAATATAAGCTAAGTATTTAAATTAAATAACTTATAATATAAAGATGTGGACTATAGGTTATAATAATAACTCATGCATCATATGTTAATGAATGAATATTATTATTATAACTATAGATTATATATTTGAATATCAATCAATGATGCAAACCATATAATGAATGAATGCACATGTTATGATAGTTCAAGTATAGTCTAATATGCAAATGTATGCTCATAATAATATATAGTGCATAAATAAGTAAATATAAGATAAAGTATGGTAGAAATCCCTTAGAACCAGATTTAAATAACATCCATGGTGTGATCAAGTCATGGAGAAAATTGGAGCTAGACAGGATCACATCAGATGCTAAGTATGATTGCTATACTTAGCTAATTTCTCCATAACCAATGGTTGAAGCGATGACTCAATCCCTATTGTGAGGATTGAAAAGCACTAAAATAACTTCGAGTTATTTTCTCAATTTTCTGGAGGAATAAGATTGATGATCAACCTATCTTTTTAAAATCAAAACGTTTTTTAATCAAAAAGTCGATGTTGGTTCGGAAGTTGTTTTGATTTATAGTTGGGAGGAAGAATTGGCTGGTGGCAAGTTTGACTTTGTTGAAAACATTTTGATATTTCGATATAACAAATTAAGTTAAATGAATTTTAAGATTTTCCAAAATGATTTTCTAAAGTATGTTCGATAAATTTATTCGAATATAAAAACATTACTCCAAATATTTCAAAAATCATTTTTAATCCTTACTTAAGTGTAAAATTAAGTTTTAATCTTAAAACAATTTCAAAATAATATTTCAAAGTATTTCGAACCATTTCAAACCCAAAATTTCCAGATTGCTCAGAGGGAACCGATTCCCTCCCATAGGGGGTACCGATTCCCCCTGAATGGTTTAACTCCGAGATTTCCAGAATGCTCGGAGGGAACCGATTCCCCCATAGGGGGTACCGATTCCCCCATGTTCAACGGTCGAAATATTTGAATTTTACACTTAGGGAACCGATTCCCTATAAGGAGGAACCGATTCCCCCCACGCTCCAAGCTGTTTTATTAATTGTTTTCACACTAAAACGGCTATATTATCTTCATTAATTATCCCAACGTTCAGAAGTGATTCAATGTGTATTTAAACAAGTTCTGAAGCCCTTGATCAGCAAGAAATCATAGAGAAACAAGAGAGAAAGCATCAAACACAAAGT